TTATTATACTAGAGCTAAGAACTGCAGTACTATTTAAAAGCAGCAGCTTCAACAATGAAGATTTGCAGATCTCAGAACAGGTTTAGTGGAACTCCAGAGTTTAGAAATGTTAGCTGGTTTTTTTACCTCAGCTTCCAGAATCCCAAATTTAAGGAGGTGGCTGTTTGGTGGGAGCTATTACAGTATCTGGAAAAGCAACTTTTCCCAAGCACTGTACAGTATATGTCTTCTGATTTTCTAGGGTGACTGCAGTTATGGACTGCGTCCACCACCTCCCAAGGCAGTCTGTTTCACTGCCAAGGGGCTAATACCGAGAAGTTTCTCAAATGCCCAAATCCTGATGATTAGTAAGTATAGTAAGTCACATTAGAGGAAGTCCACCAAATGGAGCCTACTATGACTACAGTGCTAAAGCAAGTCACTCTTAGAGCAGGCTCATTTTAAATCAATGGACCTGACAGGTGAATTGACTTGCCAAATCCCCATTGGTTCACTGGGCCTACTCTAATGTGACTTACTAAGCTCTTGTGTTTACCCAAAATCTTCTTCTATGGAGTTTCTTGCCATCCCTTCTACTCCTTTACTCTGAAGGAACATCTCCTTGACAGACTTTCTGGTATTTGAAGCTGTTGTGTTTGCCCTTCATTTTCTCTACTCAAGGCTAACCATACACTGCTCATCCTACTCTTCTTCGTGAGACTTGTTTCTCCAGATCGGAGATGAGAAAAGCTGCTTCTTTTGGATTCCCAGTCCGAGAATAGCTCTTCCAGCACGACCAGTAGCCATGCTGCATGGATATTCTGACAGCGATAGTCCCATCTCAGTTCCATACTCTTTCCTTTCCTGACAAGGGGTTACTGAGGGACCAGCTTTTATGGTTTTAAAGATGGTGAGATAAATCCTGGGTGGTGAGGCAATGAATGACTACTAGCTACAGCATTACCTTCAGGATGTTGCGTGCGGTTGCTGAGGTACGTAAGCAGGAAGATGTTTCACACCCTTGCAGAGCTGTAACTCCCAACTTAAGCACTCAGGATGTTGCTGCCCTATTGTCTGAGCCTGGGTCATGGGAGATGAGTGCCCACAAAGAGAGAATGGAGCAATGGGGAGGAATGAGCACCTGACAGGCATGGGTTCTGTGCTGAGTCCAAGAGATGGATGCATGCCCTTCCAGCAGTGAATTTTTGCACCCTGTAAATTTTTGCAGGGTGAAAAAAATTCACAAAACCCAATTGGCCTACCCTACTTTCAGCTCTCTTACTCCTGACTCATTTCAGGCTGTGACTGGCCATTCTCTGTACAAAATGCTAAACCAGGTAGGGCTTTGATCTGACTCAGTATGGCTCTTCAAAGGTTCTTATCGCAAAAGAACAAAGAAGCCCCACACAGACCAACCACCACACACACACATACACATGCTCATGGGCATGTGCGCGCGCACACACACACACACATACATTTTATAGAATTTATTGTGAAATGCATGGATTCTAGGTTAGGATTTCCTAGGGTTATAGTGTGTTTTAAACAGCTGCTCAGCATGAACATTCTTTTTCCTAAGAAACTTTGGAATGTAAAAACAAAAAATCTAGAAAAACAAAATTCTCCCCACTGAATTCCCTTGGTTAATATGTTGGTGCCTAGTCGTGAAAGCCACAATCTCAGTATGAACAGAAATGTGACCAACTGTCAGCCATTAAGGTTAGCCAAGGTTCAGTAGGTCATTCCTGGGCCATTTTATCCATCAAGCTCACAAAGATGTCACTATATCAGAAGTGTGCCTTGCAATTGGAGGAGGAAAGTTTTGATTCTACCAGCAAACTAGGTGGAAAGCAGAGAAATAATGGGTAACAGGGAAAGACGGTCCATGCTGTCAAGAGATCATGGGAATTGTAGTCCAATACCTCCAAGGATCACTAGTTCAGGGAAGGCTGGACAAATGTATGTGAAGATAAAAAGTGATCAAAGCCTGTTATCTAACAGTTTGGATGGTAATTTGGACAGCCACTGCCTCTTCGACCACAAGCCGACTTCCGAATGATTTGTCAATGACTTTGCACTGGAAAGTCAAACTAGAATCAGCACAAACAGGAGAACCATCCCTGTAGAAATTGACCAAAGGTCTCTGTGTTTCCCAGATTTATTAGTTACTTTTTCTACCTTGTTTTAAACAAAACACTCCTTTTTCCTTGACACTTGCAACAGTTCCACCAAGTAAATCATCCTAACAGCAAATGACTACTGCACAGGGGATCACTCTAAAAAGATCAGGGATAGGTCTTGGAAAGCAACCATTTTCTCCTTCTACAGATCCTAAGTTACATTACTTCTGCTTGGCACAGGGATTGGGGAGAGCTCATTTTGGAAGTGACCTGTCAGTGAGGTGTTCCACTGACCTTCAACTGTCTATTTGACAAGTCACTTGAGCTACTTGCTGGTTGTGTTATGAGGCTGCAATTGACCTGCAAACCAATTGTTGACATACCATACTTATGCACTTAAACCTATTGATCTTAATAAATAAATGCACCCAACTTTTATGTATAGTTCTTAGGCACACCACAAACATTCTAGACTACAATTGAGACATTTCTACATTATCATCCTCAGAAATGAACACTGGAAAGTGTGTTCCCTTTTGGTGCCTTTTTGATTGCAGCTATTTTCCAGTTCTACCTGTAAGTCTTCCACCTTCTGAAAGTTTGAAATCTCAATTTGTAACTTCTACCACAAGTAAAATAAGAGTGGTACTAATGGGGTACTTTTGGCAGGACTAGCTTTTGATGTGATATTGTATTATATTTTCTATTCCAGTTTAATTTTCTGTGGCTTTTAACAGTTTTGTAAACTGCTTTAAGTCCCAAGTCTGAGAGAAAGGTGTCATATAGATTAAATAATAAAAAGCAAAGCAAAGTCTCCTGCTTATATACCACTCCATAGCATTTAAAGCACTTTTTGAAAGGTGTAGTTTTAATTATACAGGCTACACAATTATACAGGCGATCGCAAAATGATGGTTTGAATGGTTTTTTTCCGCTTTGCGATGATCGGTTCCCTGTTTCGGGAACCGACTTTCGCTTTACACGATCAAAAACAGCTGATCGTCCAGTTTCAAAATGGCCACCGGCTGAAGAAAATGGCCCCCCACTGTGCTTAGGGATGGATTCCTCGCTGCACAGGCATGGAAAATGACCGCCCCTATGGAGGATCTTCACTGGACCATGAGTTTTCAGCCCATTGGAACACATTAAACAGTTTTCAATGCATTTCAATGGGCTTTTTTATTTCGCTTTACGACATTTTCACTCTACAGCGATTTTGCTGGAACGAATTAACGTCGTCAAGCGAGGCACCACTGTACTGCAGTTTAACTACTGAGCTACAAGGTTTTGGCTAAACTTTATATGTTTAGCCAAAACCTTGTAGCTCAGCTTTAGCCACAAGTGTCTAAATAAATGTTTTTCCGGAAGGGAAATTCTGAGCACATATCATCTGCTCCTGGGTGTAAGCACAAGCTATGCAAGACAAGCTGCTTGAAACAGTGATTAATTTTCTTTTCTGAGTGGGTGTGGTTTCCTTCAGGATCCAAGCCTTTGAGAGAGAGACATTGCCAACTCCAAGGTCCTTTTTTTTTTTTTTTTTTGCTGTTGTCTGCTTTGTTCATTTGTATGGTAGGTTACAAATATCATCCTAGAACAGACAGACCTTCTTTTCACTTCATTGGTGCCTATTTCTTCTTGTGTGCTTTAAAAACCAAGGACAGTTCCCAATGAGGAAAATAGTAGAATTTTGTTTAACGTTAAGGTTGAGACTGTACACCAAAAAGTGCAAATATAGGACCTCCAGGGAAAGGGGGCGATTTTTGACAAAACATATCAGTAGCTTATCTCTTCCCACATCAATGACATGGACTCATCTGAACACAGGCGGTCTCGTGGGACTGTTGCTGGTAAGGGGGTCACTTCAGTTCTGATCTGCGCTGGGAGGTCTAGATCAGGGATAGGGGCCCTTTTTCCATCAGCCCCAACTAGCATAGCCAATGTTCAGGGTGATCTGAGTTGTAATCTAAGATATCTGGCGTTTGCCTACCCCTTGTCTAGTAAAATACTGAAGTTGGCCAGTCATGCTGTTATAATGTACCAGCACAATCAGGCTTAAAACCTAATTCCAGATCTAGCACTGTGAAATCAAAGTCAATTATGCTTAAATTCATATCCACTAGTCTTAATTATATTCCTCATAAATACAAACAACTATTAGACTTTCTATGCTCCAGTTTTATTTTGACACAAACCCTTATGGCTTTTGGTTCATACTGTACATTAAATTCATTGCCTTAACATTTGACTTTTGAGCATGTGTCTGGTATACACATGCATACAGGTTCTTAAATATTTTCTACATAATTAGGAAACAAGCTTTGAGAACCCTTCATAAATAGTAGGATACTTTATTTCTATAGAAATAAAATTATCCAATTATGAATCCCAAGGACCCATAATTATAGTGCCTGCTGTACAAAAAAAGAACAAGTTTTATATGTGAAACTGCTTTAAAAATATCATGGTGGGGAAAACACACACACACTCATAAATAACTATTTCACGCTCATAATGTTAAATACACAATATTGAATTTAGGGCACTAGAAAAGGCCACTGCACATGCTTTTGATGGAATTCATTAGACTCGACCATTAAAACTTGTGAATTTTGTAGGTAGATTGTCCTCCGGGTATACCGTTGGGCCTGTCTTCATTGTTGGTGGTCCATTTATAAGCTGCCAATCGCAGTTCCGTGCCAACTCGACAGTAAAGATTTTGAGGAGAAGTTTGGCAAACTCTTTGCCCACACAGCTTCTCAAGCCGCCTCCAAAGGGAATGAAACTAAACCGTGAGGCATCCTCAGGGAAAGGACCCATGAAACGATCAGGTTTGAACTCCTCTTTGTCAATGAACAGCTCAGCCACATCATGGGTGTCAGAAATACTATAAATGACATTCCACCCTTTAGGAATCTGGTAGCCCTGTAAGGAGCGAGAGAGAGAACAATGGCATACAATAGCATTACGATGGGTCTGCTCCATAACACTCAGCCATTTTCACAAGAGCAAATATCCTGCCAGGTCAACACCACTATCAACAGCATAGAGAAGACACAACAAGAGTCCTGAGAACGGTTGTCCAAGTCCTGAGGCTATTGTGGAGCTCCCCCCACCAGCTTTCCCCTCTAAAATATCCTGCATTTTTGTAAACACTGGGGTTTCCCTTCTTGTGTGCAGAAGGAGGTCTACCTAAGGGCAGACATTCCTTATGACATCACCTGAGATCACCTGTTGGTATAAGAGATCTATGAAAGGGTCACGAGCACTGCCATTAGCCATGGTGACCACCCTACTGAGAGTTCGGTGGAGTTAACACTTCTCAAGTACTTCTGTAGTACACTTTCAGGAACAAATGAAACAGTGGCATCACTGGCCCCATTGCCTTAGGCTTGGGGAATGAAAGCTCACATACGCTGAGGGAAACATTCAGAGATCAGAACAAAGCCACTTTATCACAATGCCATGGGGGAAAGAGATCCCAGTGAAGACATCCCAACTGAGGCACATACACATTATCTGCCACAGGCCTAAGTTCTTATCACCATCTAAATTTAGAGGCCCCTCAGATATACAAAATCCATACATGACTACTGTTGCTTCCTTCTCATTAGTCATGCAACCCAAGCTGCTCCAATCTGTTACAATAATAATCTATAAAGACTACGTTGATTTCTTTCATTTTAATTTCACTTTTGGCAACATCTGGAGGCTCACAGGGACCTCGGGGGCTCTGGTGCTCAGATTGGAAGGCGCGTTTTAGCCGGACACTTGCGGACCAAGTCATGAAAACAATTCCAAGCGCTTAACTTACCTGCATGCTGTGATAAGTATTAAGAAAGGAGCTCTTAAGGTTTCTGACCCACTCCAAAAGAAGGAGGGTTACATGCTCTAAAGCAGAAAAAGGTTCAGCCAGTGTCGTTTTTCTATCACTGTGACGGTACCAACACTGTGAGTGTTGGGGTGCCTGAGATGACACCACTATCCAACAAGGATTATTTTCACTTGGTTTAGAATATCTCTGATGGTAGAATCAGATTAACAAATTGGTAAACAGAGTTGGGAAAGACGGGAAGTTAAGGGCCTCTCCAACAGAGGCCAGAATCCTACTGAAAATCTACAGCAGCATTAAGTGCAACTGGGTAAATCATGGTGGCAAATTGCTGCTAATGAACAAGTAGTCACTTGCAGTCTTGGTTGTTATTCTGGTTGCTCAACTTGGTGTGTGATGCAGAATGTGAGTGGCTGCTCACTGATTGTTATGCCAATCTGCCACAGCAATTTATAAAAATACACTTATGCCAGTATAAACCCCCAACAGGATTCTGGCCAGAGTTGTAGTGAAGCTGAAGATCTGTCAGCTGTTGTCTTGCTTCAGAGTTCTTAAAGAGGAAAAGAGGTGCTCCCCGTCTACCAGTGGAAGGTATCTGTCAGCAGATCAAAGGGGACACTTTTTTCAGCAGTTCTCCCCTACCCACCCCCAGCACACAGAGCATATATCTGATCCAAAATTGAATACTGCCCATTGACCTTCCCCCCCAACTTACGTTATAGTCAGTCTAATTTATTACTGCATCTTTCAAGTATGACAGTAAGCATTTTTTTAAAAAAAACAATCATTTCCATGGAAAACCAAGAGGATTGCCCAACCAGATAGGAAAATTAGAGAGGTTTTATTTTAAAACATATGTTCTCCTGCTTACATTTAACTCAAAAGTCTTGAGTGCAACTCTGAATCCTCCCGGAACAGGCGGGCTGAGCCGGAGCGTCTCTTTGATGACACAGGAAGTGTACTTCAACTGTTCTAAGATTTCCATTTCCAAATGCTTCTCTTGGCTCAACTTGCTCAGTATTCCCTAGAAACAGAAAGGATGCATCATAAGGGCTGCTTGCCGTTGAAACTGCAAGTAACGCAACCGCCTAGCCGTATTTTAAACTGTATTCTTATTATATTAATGGTTTAAATGCATTTGCTTTATTTTAAGAATTCCACAGTGGGGCTGATGTACATGATTTTTAGATTCTCTTTTTCTGAAGTTAAATGTCATTTTATCTGTTTTTTTAAAGCTGGTAACAAGGGTCAAACACTGTTCCTTTTGCAAAATGTGGTAACATACAGTGGCGTCTCGCTTAGCGATGTTAATTCAGTCCAAAAAAATTGCTGCTAAGCGATAACATCGCTAAGCAAAAATAAAAAGCCCATAGAAACGCATTAAAACGCGATTAATGCGTTCCTATGGGCTTAAAACTCACCTTTAAGCGAAGATCCTCAATAGCACCGCCATTTTCGGTGCCTCTAAAGCGAGGAATCCATGCCTGAAAACAGTGGGTGGCCATTTTGTTTACCCGGTGGCCGTTTTGAAACCACCGATCAGCTGGCCGAAAATGGGGGCTTTGCGATGATAGCTTCCCTGCGATCATCGCAAAGTGAAATTCACCCATAGGGACCATTGCAAAGCGATCGCTTTTGCGATCGCAAAAACAGCATCACTAAGCGATTTCGCCGTAAAACGCTATGCGAGGCACCACTGTATTTTATTTGAAAGATGAATACTGTAGACAAGTATTCAGACAAGTATGAATACTGTAGGCAAGTATTCAGTCAAGATTGCCATTTAACAATCTTTTTTAAAAAAATACCAAACAGAATTTTTATTTACTTACATCAATCAACTTTTGATCAACTCAGCTTCATAGCTGTAACCACCACAAAGAGAACTTTTTTTGGAAGACGTGACCCACATTATTTGCAGACACTTACAGCACTTTTGTGCACAGAATTCAGCTCCTTTTTGTCGTCCTGGCCCATGGACTTTTGAAACCAGATCATCCAGTTCAGGATTCAAGACCCCCTGACAGCTAAATACAATGAGTCCTAGGAGGTAAAACCCACCTTCTCTTGTAGTTCTTGTCTCACTTTTTGCAGCACTTCGTGGTGAAGACCCAGGAAGATAATCAAGGATGTAGCAGCGCTGGCAGTGGTCTCATGTCCACCAAAAAGCAGCTCAGTGGCTGACTCTTTTAGCTCCTTTAGGTAAAGGTTTGAAAAGAGACTGGAGGTCAGACGGCATTTTTAATTTTTTTTATATATATATTTATATTCTACTTCTTTTCCAAAAAGCCGATGGTAGCAAACATCACCACGCTCCCATACCCGTCTTCCTATGAATCCTATGAGGCATATTTGGTGAAGAGCTAGTGATTGCCTCACAGTCCCCCAGTTGGAAGCTACGTGGCCAACTGGGGATCTGAACCCTAGTTCAGTGACCCTGAATTCCTGTTCACCATAATAAAAATGAGATGTTTTTGTACAAATCAAATGCCAGGCTTCTCTCTCATCAAAACACAATTTTTCCCATGCCAGGTTATGGCTCTGGCCTTTTATATCTGGGCAACCGTAGAGTGTTTGCAGGGCAAACAAGGCAAAGAGTCAAATGTTTCTCCTGCCCAGATATAAAAAGCTATACTCCTAACCCTGGAAAAAATGTTTTGATAGGGGGAGCAGTAAATCTGGTATTTCATTTCTATAAATACTGATCAACATCCTCTATCGGATTCCTTACTCCTTCCTTTCCCTGCATCTCTTTTTCACTGCCTGCTCTCCAAAATCCATTTTCTTCTACAGTAACCTCAATTTGAATGTCCCTGATCCTGCAACTCTTTCCAGTCATCATTTCCCCCTTCCATAATCCACACACACACACACAGCCTGCCCCACAAGAGGCAGGCAGATTCCAGGCTCCCTCTGTTCCAGTCTATCCCATTGTACTACCACTCTTTCATAATATCCTAACATCGGCACTGCTAATATAAGACATGGAAGGAAAAGAATAGTATCAGTTGCTTTCAAGCCAGGCCATGCTATTAGCTCCTTATCCTGAAAATGACTTGATAAAATGTGCTAGATGTGGAATATGTATATGCAAGAATATGTACAGGCAACAACTCTGCAGATGGATCCCACTGCAGTGTTTTGGACTACAAGCCCCATCAGCATGGGCAAGAGTTGGGGATGATGGGAGCTGTCATTCAAACCAAGGAGGAGGCAGCAGTTTGTGAAAGGCTGACCTATGGTTTTAGGGTGGTCAGTTTCACAGCCAAACAGGATGTCTCATTGCGGATTAAGAGCGGGTGGTGGAGAGATTCCCACTGGGACCATTTCAACGATGCCATGTATGGGAAATGTGTCCTCCAACAAATGTTGCCAGACTGTTATCTTTCATCATCCTTACCTTGCACAGCCAGGGGTGAGGGGTTTTATTATTTATTTAAAATATTTTTACCCTGCATTTCTCCTTAAAAGGACCCAGTGGGAACTGCAATTCTGCAATATCTGGAGAGCCACACATTCTGCACCATTACACTGCAATCTCAGTCTGGCTCCCCTCTTTCCCCAACAGCTACTATTTGTTCAAGAAAATGCAGGTGGGACCCCAAGACAGGAAGACAAGAATGAGGGTGATTTGTAGGCTGAACAGCTCAGTGGGAACATTGGCTACTTTGGCACGAAGCAGGAGAAGCCCAAGGGAGAGGAACAAAGCTACAGCTACATGCATGCTTAGGGCAGTACAAACCCTGAAACAACAATAACAGAAATGTTGTGACATCCTTGAGACTAACAAATTTACTTGCATGTGAACTTTTGTGTATGATAAAACACGTCCTGACACACAGAAGTGCCTGAAGAAGTGGACTGTAATCCATAAAAGTTCATGCTGAAAGATATGTATTTGTACCAATGATGTCACAATACTTGTGCTTTTGCTGAAACAGACTAACCTAGGTATGTCTGAAAATTTAAGTCAAGGGCATCCAACAGCATCTTTCCAGCCTTTGATGTTACCAAAGCAGAGGAATTGCTAGGAGGACATTTACAGTTGTGTCAATTATTATCATGCATTAAGAAATGGAAACAGAATAAGACCAGCTCATTTTCAGATAGAAATGCCTCTTCATTTCAAATACATACTAAACCAGCGTACACCGTGCACCACCTTAGAAAATACCTGCCTCCTTCCCTCTCATAAAGAAGAATCTCCTAAGATAGTAGCTTCAGACAGGGATGGGGGAACTTTCAGACATCCAGATATTTTGTAGTACACACACACACACACACCCATTTTCTGCTATAAGCCATGCTGGGAACCTGAGTTGAGTTGAAACACGACATGTATTGAGGGTCAAAATCCCTGTCTTGATGAATGCTAAAAACAACAGCAGGACAATCTTTTTCCCCTTTCCCAGAAGCTTCAGGTAAAGTGGACCTCCCTCTTTATTTCTTTCCTTCTTTCTTTTCCAGCCTAGCAATAAGCCCCTTAGTACTCAGGGATTTTCTTTCAAGAATAGAGGGGAAAGATTATGATCTCTGAATATAGTCAACAATGGTCTGAATTCAAATTGTGTGTGTGTGTGTGTGTGTGTGTGTGTGTGTGTGTGTGTGTGTGTGTGTGTGCGCGCGCGCTTTTAAAAGAAATCACTGAATACATGTATGACATGAATGTCATAGTAAGAAAAGTCCTTATCCTGATAGTCCAGCTCTTCGCATTTAAACACAAAACAAAAATCTTGTATTTTTGTCTTTTGGATTACATCTCCCAAAATAACCCAGCTAACATGATTGTTGATGGCTGGAGCCTTCTGGAAGTTATAGTTTAAAATAAAGCTGCCTTTTTCCCAAGCTCTGCACAGGATGCCACCCACAGATAAACAACTCCCTGAGCCTACTAGAGTATTTCTGGCGGAAAGCCCTGCTCCAAAGCAGAGCAAAGCCAGTATTCAAGTGGCAAGCAAGGGCATCACAGTCTTCCTAATGGTCGCAACCGGCAGGCCAGCCCTCAGACAAGCTTGTCTTGCACCTCAAGTCACTCTTCCCTGTTAATCTGAAGTGTTGCCAACTTTCCATAGCATACACAGCAGGCAGAAAGTCCTTGGGGCAGTTTTTCCTTGGGTATCATTCAACTGTTAGGACTGGTTCAACTCCTGCCTGTCCCCAAAGCCTTTCACCCTACCGGGAGTACGTTAAACAAAGCCCTCCCCATTTGAAAAGAAGGCAAGCACTTGCCTGAACCCAAAACAGGGGGCAGCTTTACCGGATGCCTTTCTGCCTGTTGTCCAGCTGTCCCAAGCCCTACCCCCCCCCATTTAAATTTGACTGGAAGGAAGTCCTTCAGTCGGGAAAGGCGAGAACGGAAAGGCAGCCCTGCTCCCCCCCCCCAAAAGCAGACGCCCTCGCCAACCATCCGGAAGGTGAAGGCAAGCCCTGGGCACAAAGGAACCCCGGCCCGCCCTCCCATCCACGCAAGCGTGAGGTTGCCCGGAGGGAGGGAGGGAGGGCGGCGGAGGGGCGACTCACCTGCATGCTGAGCTGCTCGCCGTCGCTCTGCGTGTGCTCCATCAGCAGCTGCAGGGCGTCCTTGTAGCCGTCGGCGGGCTCCTTCCCGGCCAGTTTCGCCCGGATGTTCTCCTCGATCTTGGCGTGGATGATGGCCCGCGCCCTCAAGCCCTGCAAGCACACCCGCCTCAGTGCCAAGCCAGCCCTTACGGCCGCCGAGATGCCCCGCTTCCCGCCTGGATCGCGCCGACGCTTTCAAACCGCCGCCGCCCCCCCCCCTCCGCTGTGTTTCTTTTTCTCGGCGTACTTACCTTGTAAAAGCCACAGAACGGCACGTCGATTGGCAAGGAGAAAAGGTTGCGGATCATTTCCTCGAAGGCTTCCACCAGGTGCTGCTCGCTGTCCGAGTCCGCCTGGCTGGATCGGAACCCCAGGAGGATGCGCATGGCGATGCGGAACATGAGGCGCTTCACCTCCGGGTAAACCAGCAGGCAGGAAGAGCCGCCGCCGCCCCCACTGCTAGCCAGCACCCACTGCCTGAGGCAAGCGGTCACCTCCTCCTGGATGACGGGGATGTAATGCTCCAGAGCCTCCCGGGAGAAAGCCCGCATGATGACCTGCAAGAGGAGAGGCCTTAGGCAGCCAGAAAAGTTTGGACCGGGGACGCCCGCGGCGCCTCCTCCTGCTCCTCCCTCCTCCTCTCACTTGAACGCGGCTGGGTCAGATCCTACGCTAGGGCCAGCGCCTGTTTCCTCCTCTTGCGAAGTTATCGCTTCAGGCGAGCAAACCTTGCAGCGCCAAGTTCGTGAGGGACAATGGGGCATAATCTCGTTTGGTCCTTCTGATGCTCATGTTGGACCCACCGGACTGGAGAGAGTTCCACCCACGAGAGAGGGAGGCGTGGATCCCATTCCGTAGTGCCGCCTAGCCCAGCTGTTTATTCCTCCGTGCCAGGAGGGTTTGCCTGGAAAGCCAATTCCCCGCCCCCGCCCCCCCCCCGAGAGAGAGGGAGATGTTCCTTAACAGCCAGGCCGATCCCCTTAGGAAAGAAAGGTACTCCGGGACCAAGCCCTGTTGCATTCACAGCGATTTACTTCTGAGTAGGCATTTAGGAAACTGAGCTGCAATGCTGGGCATATTTATTAGAGAGAGACCACCCAGATTCACCTCAACCGGAGTACAAGCATGCAGAGGGAATCCGAACACAAGTCCTAGGAGTGAAGCAAGATCAAGGAAGGACCTGAAGCCATCGGGAACAAGAGCTGTTGTTAGGATAAATCCGCCATTCACGGGTGTCCCAGAAGATCGGGTTTGGGTTTAAAACTGGGAATCGCCTTTCTGATCGGACACTTCGAATGGGGGGGGGGAGAATAGATTTACGAGTGGAATCCTGGCCGATCCCCAGCACTTGAGAGGCAAGGATTTCTGGCTGCCACTTATTTTAACAAAAGCTCGTAAATGGATTCCGGGTTTGAGATGGGGAGGCCTGTGCGCTCTTTCGTTCTGATCCTAAGAACCAATTCCTGGATCTCATTCTAAGGACATGCCTTTTGTATCTACGCTCCATTTGGTGGATCGGGGGAATCTCATATTAAAAAAAAAAGAATTAACAAAGTAGATTTTGAACAACCCTAAAGTCTCCCAAGTCCCACTTTAAACTATGTGTCAACCTATGGCAACTGGGGTGGGGGGAATGGATCATCATCTTCCAGGTTTCCTCTCAGCTGGGGGGGGGTCGGCTTTCCGGGAGCCCATGAACAGGCGAGACTTTTTAAAAACACTCCTCGTTTACTTTGAAGTTCTTGCGAGGAGGGGGGGGGGAATCGTCCTTATGCATGACGGGTTCCAGAACTTTCATCAAGTTCTCAAAGAATTCCCCGGCCGGGCCCCGTCCAGGTGAAAAAAACACTGCTCTAAACCTTGCCCAGGTTTCGGCTCTTGCGCCTACTGCCTTGAAAGGGGAGGCGAGCATCTTTGGAAACCCCGGGACCTCTCCGCCGGTCTTAAGACTGGAAGACTCGGGCGCCAAGCCTTCTCCTTTATTGGGCCTAGACTGCCCCCTATTCCTCCTTGAAGCTATTTTTAGAAGGCGCCATTCACTTTATGGAAGGCCGTTTTATTGGGACGGATTTTTCCCAGGATGCGTTTTAACCTCCTGGCAGTCCGTCCTCTCTCGCTCACTCGCTTTTTCTCCCTCCTTCCCTTGACAGCGTGGCTCGCAGTCCGATCCTTCCATGCCTGGAGCAGGATACGCCTGACCAAGAGCTGGCGAGGGAACTGCAGTCTTTCAATGCATTAAAAAGAGCTCTTTCCCCCGCTTTTTTGTGCAAACGCACCGAGCGAGATCCGTTAGTCAACCTCTCCTTTCGCCGGGCAATTGCTGGAGCTCCAGAATTTCAGGCAAGGGAACGTTGGGTCCCCCCTTGGAGGATCGCCGCCAACGCCGGATTCTGCAGCAGACGCCCTCCTATCTCATGCAATTAACCTCTGAGCCCTTTGGCTGACCCTCTCTCTCCCTCCCCACCCCCGGAAAAAAAAACCGGCCCAGAGGCCGGTCCGGGCACTGGAAGCCGCCGCAGCGCCTCCCCTGCCCGGCCGGGCTCCCCTCCCGTTTCCCCGGCTTCTTGCCTTCTTGCGGTGTTTGTGTTGGCCGTCGTGGAGGTTGGAGAGGCAGCCCGCGCCCAAGATGGTGCGCACCGAGGCCGGCCACTGCACGGCCACCAGCCGGTGCTCGCCTAGCAGGATGAGCCGCACGTTCTCCACCCCCATCACGCGCACGGTGGGCTTCCCGAAGAGGTGCGTCTTGTAGACGTGGCCGTACTTGCTCCGCTTCATCTGCAGGAACTTCCGCCGCTGGGGGAGCAACCAGACGAGAGACGGCCGTGAATGGGGACGCAAGAGAAGGAGCAGGGAAGAGGAGGAAGAGGAGGAGGAGGAGGAGAGCGAGGCAACGGGCAAGGGGACTCGTGTGCGCGGAAGGGAAGGGGCGGCCCCTCTTTACCTGCAGCACCAGCTGGAGCGTCTCCCCGAAGAAAGGCAGCCCCATGCTGCCAGGGGGCAAGGGCAAGGGGCAGGCGGGATCGCGGCCCCGCAGGCAGTACACGTCCCAGAGCTTGGCCGCGACCAGGAGCAGCAGCAGCGGCAAGAGCACGAAGGTGCACAAGGCGCCCGGCAGTAGCGCGGAGAAGCCCATGGCGGGCGGGCGGACGGGCGGG